TTATCATTTATAACAGTTCACATTACTTATTCATATTCTTTCTCTTATAACCACATATCTTTTCTTTTCAGTCACGTATCACATGTACGTGTAATCATATATCTAATATCAGACGTTGCATGTAATCACATAGCTTCTTTTCATATTCTCATCGGATCACATAGTTCATATCTTATACTTTGTTTTCTCATGTTCACATATATCATGTCATATGATTCATATCTTTCTCATGCAATCACATAGTTCAGTTTCACATATGCTCATATATATATATATATACATTACATATCACATACTTCTCATAACATTACATTCAAAAGCATGTTAACACATATAATCATGCATACATACAATTCATGTTATTCATATACGTATAATCATATATTCATGCATTCTAACAGAGGAAATAGACTTGTCGCAAGTCTTGTTTCCATTTAGCACCATAAACTAATTAATATGCACTCACCTGGCCTCACTAGCCCCTTTCAATCTCTTATCTTCCCTTTTTATCGATCTTACTTGTCAATGATTTTCGGAACTCGTTTAGGCTTTGAATCTACATAATTATACAATTTAAGACAATTATTAGATACCTACACCTTTTAATTGGGATACTAGCAACTTAAACGAACTTATTAAACCAATATTAACATTTTCCTATAGGGGGAATCGGTTCCCCCCTGTGGGGGTATCGGTTCCCCTCTGGCATTCTGGAATTCTGTCGCTTGAAGGGGTATCGGTTCCCCTTGAATGGGTACCGATTCCCCTTGCCCAGAACTCATATTTTAAGCTCGAAAATCACTTCAATTTCTCTCAAACACTTCATATATCATCCCCTTTTCATTCTTAACTCTAGTACACATACTTAAACCAATCTATATTCATTTATTTCATCTTAAACCTTAGAATTCTATTCTCAATCTAGAATCCAATAATCATATCAAATTTTTCATGTTATTCAAACATACTTCTAATACTTCTAACTTCTTAATCTCATAGATGACAAGTCAAATTCAACTTTCAATTCTCAATATACACTTTATTTCAATATTTCATTCCAAAACTCCTAATCTTTAAATCCTCATAAACTCTTCATTTTGTTGTTTTAAAGCAAATTAATCCTTCCTTAATCTTACTTAGCATCTAATAATCAAAACTAAACTTAAATTTCAGCACATAATCAACTCAAGAGACAACTTACCTTTTGCTTGGCTTCACACGTGAAGAGAAAATGAAGAAGGAAAAGAGAGAATAGATTTTTCTGGAAACTCTCCATCCTTATTCATATATATATCATTAATTTTAATTTCAAGTCTAATGACCATTTTGCCCTTTAATTTTCTTTAACAATTACAAAATAACCTTCCTCATATGTATCCAATAATCCTTGAACTATTTCATTCTTATTCTTTAGTCATCAAATTCCGAAACTTTACAATTTGGTCACTAACCCGATATTGAGGATGTTACATGATGGCTCTCATTGTAGAGGTGTATAGTCGGGTCGATCAGGTGATGGCTCTGAGTGAGGTGATGGCTCTCGAAGTGGAGGAAGTGGAGGCTGCTCATCATTCGTGCCATCAAGAAAACGCTGACTAGCTTGCCAACAATCAGTGGCAAGCTCAACCTCCGTGGGTGTCAGTCTCATTAATGGAGTGTTGGCCTCCTAAAAATATAAAAAGTTAAACAAAGTTAAACGTCTACTATTAATAACTTATTTATATATGATAGTATTTGTGTTAACTTACATTATTTATTGTCGCATATGGTATTAAGTCTTCCCAATCTAACATACGTATCATCTTACAGGAAATAGCCCTAGGAATATCATTTGAGGTTTTTAATGCATATGTCCGCATGCTGGGGAAAGCCTCGAATATCCAAATCTACAAACAATATAATAACAAACATTAGTAATTGTTAAATAATTAATTATAATTTTGAAAACATTATATAGAAATTCTTACCTTAAAGGCCCAAACAAAGCCTGACAAAGTGTATTTCGACCCATCGCCACGCAAACTTTTGCGGTCATCAAAGGCAGACGACAACTTAGTCCAGGTAGCTTTACATATATACGAACCCCACGGAAACAAATTCCATGTATTTAGGTCCTCTACCAATAATATTAGCTCCTGAGGAATAGGTTGTCTGGCCTCTCTGCCTAAAAAGCCGGCATACAAAAGTAGTAGAAGGCATACTCGGACAACATCGACGTCATTCATCCGAGTAAAACCATCTTTCTTATTAAACAATTTCTTCAGGTCGTCGACGTGTAAGTTCGGCTTCTCTATTGACTCATCAGGAAAAACCCTGGATAACCATGATGGGCGGGTGATATGACGAGTGTACCAGCTTACATCATCGTGTCCGAATCGTAGACCAATGATTAAGCAGAACTCCTTCCGCCCAAAACAAGTATACGCCGGTGGAAAATGAAACCATATCTCTTCCTCACCACGTTGTATACTGTCGGGTAGATCGCTAGTCATGGTCTGAAGCCACAAATGGGTCAAATTAGCATCTCCACCCGGATGCTGTACTCTCAGCCATGGCCCGAAGCAGGTTTCCTCAAACAAATTTCTTTGTGCAGGTGAAAGCTTCGAAGCAATTGTAGTGGCTAGGCTAACTTTATTCCTTAATGTCAATGAAGCCGAAAAAAATTTCTACAAAAACAATAAACATACCAAGTTAGATATACCAAAAACTACACTGTAAAGATATACCAAAAACAATAAACATAAATAGTAGTTTATTCTTGAAACTAAAATTTGCAACACTGTTTTGTCTTTTGGTTGAAATGAAAATCGCAACGAGAGAATGAAAATCGCAACACGAAAATGACTATCGCAACGAGAGAATCGCAACGCGAATTGAAAATCGCAACGCGAATTGAAAATCGCAACGAGAGAATCGCAACGCGAAATGAAAATCACAACGAGAGAATCGCAACGCGAAATGAAAATCGCAATGCGATTTTGGTTTCGCGTTGCGATTCTCTCGTTGCGATAGTCATTTCCGCGTTGCGATTTTTATTCTCGAAACTATTCTTCTTCTGCATTACTTCAACCAAAAGACAAAACAAAGACAAATACTAACTTCACAGGGTTAAAGACTAAACAGTTTAGCAGTATTGACAACAATCGAATGAATTTAATAAGAAATCTAAGTGAAATGGTTAATCTATTATTGAAATTACCAGTAAACTTATCATCAATATATGAAAAACCTAAAATAATGCAAAAACTTCAAAATAAAAATAATTAAAAAAACTAACCCTCGGAGGTTGATTTTCCATTTCTGAATGATTGTGAGGGATTTCTGACCGTGAATGGTTGTGAGGGATTTCGCCGGCGATGGGGACGGAAATCTTCGGAGATGGGGATTTTAGGTTTGAGGTTATGAGTTACGATTTTAGGTTTGAGGTTATGAGATGGAGATGGGACTGAGTGTTGTGATTTTAGGTTTGAGGTTACGAGTTGCGATTACTGTGGACGGTTCAGTTTCCGATATATTAAGAAATTCGTGTTTGGAATTTGAAAAAAAAATACGCGTTAATACGAATGGCGCTATGTAAATCGCAATGCGATTTACGTATTCGCATTGCGATTTTCCTAATTCGCATTGCGATTTACGTAATCGCGTTGCGATTTACGTATTCGCATTGCGAATTAGGAAAATCGCAACACGAATTTGGAAAATCGCAATACGATAGTCAGAATCGTGTTGCGAATCTGGAAACTGATTTGCGATACCGGAGATCGCGTTGCGAATTATCGATCGCATTGCGATTTAGTTGGTCATTTTGGCAAATCCAAAAAAAATTGGTTAAAATCGTATATTATAAGGCATTTTTGGTCACTGAGGTTATTTTCTCTTTATTAAAACATGAATTGAGAATGAAAAATCTAGTATAAAATTAAAAAGAGAGAATCGTGTATCTGTTGACTTGATGGTTCGAAAATTGTGACCCATGACCCGACCCATGAAAAATAGTGGGTTAGATATTCAATCTGATAATTCAAATAAAATATCTAATTATTTAATTTGAGTAATTTTGAACACTTCAAAATATAACTCACATTCGTATAATAATATTAAAAATGTTCTAATATCGGTTAGTAATTTAATATTTTTGGGGAAAAAACCAATAATAGAAATAAATTATAATGATCATTATTTTTTTAAAGGACTGATTTGGCATTTTAACATTACTACCAAAACATTCAATTATAGGTGTCTATAAATATCAATTAATGATTACTTCATTATTATTTTAAAGTAAGATTAGAATTTTGAGAGTAAAATCATAAATATAATATCCTCTTATAATAAATATATTTATTGACATTTGATAGTTGAAATTTTATAATTTTAACTTTTATTATTTAAAATTTATTATTGATGTAAATTTAGATAAATATGTTTTAAAATTTTAATAATTATTTTTTAAATATTTAAAAATTGTAGTTTAAGTTTAATAAATAATAATTTAGTTAAGACAATAGAAGTATTTTATAATAATTAAAATTCTCTTTAAATATATATTATATTTCCTATCTAATATTAATCCAGCGGATGTTATTTGCTGTCCCTTTTTCTAAGATTTTGGTAAGTTAATTTCTAGGGTAAACTACATGTTTAATACATCAATTATTACTTCTCTTCTGTTTTGATCATTCAACTATTTTTTTAAATGACACCTAATGTTTGTATTGGTTTCATTTTTATCACACACTGTTAAAAATATTAATAGAACTATTGAAGTGATATTTTTTATTTTTTCAATAATGACTTGACATTATCTTATGATGACATGTCAGTAACATCATTAATTTTTTAATGAAAAGTGACCAAAATGAATCCAAAACTAAAAGATAGGTATGATTTTGAAAAAAATAGTTGAGTGACCAAAATAGAACAAAAGTAATAAATGAAGTACTAAACGTGAGGTTTACCCTAATATTTTCTATAGAAAATCCGGGTGGGAGGTAAGAAAACAGGCAGCACATCATTTTCAGGGCAAAGTGTCGGTGGTGTTAGTGTATGACTCTTACACATATTTTCAACTTCTTGTTAAGCAAACCTAGTCTTTTTCTCTTCTTTTGAGCTTTGATTTTTTTTTTGGTTTTTCCTTTTTCATCACAGAATTTTGAGGCAGAAAAAGGAAAAGAAATGGGATTTGATTTGAGGCAAGTTGTGGCGGGCATACTCACAATCACCATGTTTGTGATGCTTGGTCAAATGATCAAAAGAGACCATTTTGATTCTCTCCAAGTAATCCCTCTCTCTTTGATTTCTTGTTTCTTCTACAACTCTCTACTTCTTAATCTATGTTTTGCAAAGATTGGATCTTTATGCGTTTTATTTGATTAATCTCCGACTTTATGATACTAAATCAAAACAAGTTGCTTCAGTTCCCACTTTATCTGTTATCATCACATCTTAGTTTGTTAAGCTTCGAATCTGCAACTTCAAGAAACAGAAGAATATATACTGACCCTGATCTTCAAATGTGGTCTGCTTGTTTGGTATTTTTTTTAAAGTTGTTTTCCAGGTGAAGTATATGGAAAACTAGATTGAATAAGGTATAGAAAACAACCCATTTGAAGTTTAGATGAGTTAAATACTTGTTATTTCAGATTTATAATTTGAGTCCTAGATCTTAATTCAACTTCTCAAGCCTTTGTGACCAAACAGAGGAAATTGTAAATGTTTACTTATAATGGTTAAATGTCAGCCATTTTTTCTTCCAATTCCTTTTACAACTTGGGGATGTATACTCTAAATTTGATTTTCTTTTCCCTTCCTTTTTGTATAGGAAAAACTTCCAGGAGAACCTGAAGATGTTCAATTTGATAGTACCGATGTCTTCGAGAAGGACAGCCTCGTGCAGCTTTCAAAGAGGAGCAGAGGACCTTGGATGGAGGGCAGTCGTGAGCTAAGACCATGTTGGAGCAGGCCCACTTTGGGTTCGTTGACTTCTCTTATCGTCCTGAAAAAATGATCGATTGTTTTATAAGTTTGCGAATGCATGTATCGTTATCCCGATGTCTGCATTTCTTATTGTGACTTAACGGGCAGACGTTTATGTAAATGTTTCTTTTTAATTGGAGTTCTTACTTGGCTAATAGATGAGATAGAGCAGGCAAGAGGGTATGTTACTTTCTCATTGACTAATGGCCCGGAATACCATGTCTCTCAGGTATACAAAATATCTATTTTGGTTATGACTTTATCGAAATAGAATAGCATTGTTGTTGCCTTTTCTTTTTCTTACAAAGAAGAAGAAAGAACCTAGGTCTAATGCATTCGAAAGTCGCTAATCCGTTGCATCCTCTGAGGTGTTTTCTGGATCTTTACTTTTCTTGAAGTACCCATGCCCAATACAATTTCATATATGGGTTCAGGCATGTGATCCTTCGAATAATGCATGCAAAAAACTTTAGTAAAGATTGGAATTTGACATGTCGGACACAAACATGTATCCGACATTCACACCTAAGTCCTAGTAGCATAGCTTGTATTGATGTTTACTGCTTGTTTTTTTTTCTTCTGAAAATTCTTGTTTTGCTAAATACCTAGTTTAGGTAGAATCTTGAATATTAAGTAGATTATTTTACGAAATGGCACACAGTGATAGCAGTTTATGAATGGTAATTTATTCAGAACCTTTTGCTTGTTTTCCATCTAATTATTATTCATTCCGTGGTGATTGGCGAGTACCTCTTCAGCTAGCTGATGCTGTGGTAGTAGCAAGGTACCTAACAGCAACACTCGTGCTTCCGAACATAAGAGGAAGCAAACCTGGTGATGAAAGGTTAGTGTTCTTATTAATTTTGAAGATTTATTCTCTATAGTAAAACTTTTATCTTGTTAATTCAATGAAGAATATCAAGTAGTACAAGTCTGAGTTAATGTAACTGCAAAATCTGACTGTTTCTATTATGATTGAAAATCTTCAGAAACTTCGAAGATATTTATGATGTTGAGAGGTTCATGAAAAGCCTGGACGGGGTTGTCAAAGTAGCAAAAGAATTGCCCGATGAAATATCAATTCGGGATCTTGCTGCCGTGAAGGTTCCAAATCGGGTCACGGAAGATCACATTGAGGAAAACATAGAACCAATTTTTAAATCAAAGGGAAACATACGGCTTGCTACCTACTTCCCTACTGTAAATATGAGAAAAACCGCACAAAAGAGTAGTGCTGATTCAGTCGCGTGTTTGGGAATGTTTGGAACTTTAGAGTTGCAACCGGAGGTCAATGAAGTTGTCGATTCAATGATTGAACGGCTTAGAACTTTGAGTCGCAAATCAGATGGTCAGTTTATAGCAGTGGACTTGAGGGTTGATATAATCGAGAATAAGAATTGCCGTGGAAGTGGTTCTACTGCAGCAAAAAGTTGTTATAATGCACAGGAGATTGCTTTGTTTTTGAGGAAGGTCGGATTTGATACTGATACCACTATATACCTGACTCAGTCGAGGTGGGATAACAGCCTCAGTGTCCTCAAGGATATCTTCCCCAAAACATACACAAAGGTGAGTTCATTCTTCGTTCATCGGATAATAATTCTCCCAATTTATGTTTTAGATGTGCTTCTTGGACCATTATGTGAAATGCTTGCACAATCTCAATGTAGTTCTGAAAGTTTTCTCCAGAAAAATCCTTTGCATGATACATTAATCCGTAAATTCGGTACAGTTTTTAATGCTTGCTGATAACCAATGGTTACTAGCAGCTCAGTTTTCGAAACATGTAATTCCTATGAACCTGAGTATGCGTTTGCTATTGGGAATTATTGTAGGAAAACATAATGCCGGAGGAGAAAAAGGGGAAATTTCTCGAATCCGAGGATTCGGAACTAGAAAAGGTAATAGACTTCTACATATGTTCCAAGAGTGATGTCTTTGTTCCGGCCATATCTGGCCTGTTTTATGCCAATGTAGCCGGAAAAAGAATAGCGTCGGGGAAACCTCAAATCCTTGTTCCGGCGGATATACAAGGTACTGCTGCCATGGTCACCAACTACCTCTCTCCTTACGTTGCCAAGAAGAACCATTTGGCTTACTCATGCTTTTGCTAACCTTCTTTTGAATCCATTCTTTGCAAGTAAGTGGTTGAGGCCTTCATTTGGGTGTTAGTTCTCAAGTAAAATTCTGTGTTTAAGATGGTTTTTTTCTCTCCTTAAAATGATTTCAATCGAGCAGAAATGTTATAGGGTTTGATCATGTGATGCAAAACTTTATTTTTATAATTCTTCATTTTTATATGGGGTTTTATCAATTTTGCAATCTTTGTAGGGACGGTCAAAATATCCGAACCCAACCCTATAGTGTGTGTTTTTTTTTAATTTTGGGGCGGGATTGGACGGGTTATATAATAGGTAGATTCGGGGTGGGGTTTAAGGTGAAAAATACCAACTTGACCCAATCCTATCCTGTTATTTATATATATATAATGTTAAAATATATTATTATAAAATATATTATTTTAAAATATTGATATATTTGGGTCAGGTCGGGATTGAAATTTTAGTCTAAAAATCTGTGTGAGTTCGGGGCAAGAGAAAAGCTAAAAAATATTGGGCGGGCCGGGCCGGGTATAGACTATATTTTTGGGCGGTCAAAAAACCGGTCGACCCATGCCCCATCCCTAAATCTTTGACTATAAAAAGAAAAAAGGTTAAATTAAATTTTAGGGTAATTTACATTTCAAATCATTCAATTATTAGTTCGGTTATAAACAGGTTATGTTTTCGTAAACTATAATTTAACAACTCAATTAAAATATTGTTACGGACATGGTCATCCGTTGTTAAAATAAAAATATGATATGATAACAATTTTGATCTTAAAATATCATGTATTCTGTCAAATTAGTTTTAAATTAAATTAACTTGATAATTTAGTTTTTTTTATATTTAAAATTCTATCAATTTATTTCTTTTTATGATACTATCAAGTTAAATGAATTCATTATATTCGATCCCATCACAAAGTTAAGAGCCTTGAGTTCTACTAACTGTGCTAGATGGGCAATTCATAACGAAAGTCTTTCACGGAAACTGCTCTTAATCTGGCGTTGGGGGCAGCTTACTACCTTACCTCTCCCTTACCCCATTACATATGGGAATAGGGTCAGCTAATTATTATATCATAAAGTGTAAGCAAATTATATGGTTAAGCAAATTGACTATTGGTACAATTTATATTCGATGCTTTAAAAGCAGTAAAATAATATAACATTTTTTGGAAAATAAATAAATTTAGAGAAGAATAAATATTAAATTGATAAAAAAATAAATATAAAAATTTAAATTATTTTGAATTAAGATGAAATTAATAGAATGTGTAATTTTTAAGACAAAATCATACCATGCTATATTAGACTTTTATTTCAATTTTAACCGTAGAGTGATTTATTTATAATAATATTTCAATTGAGTGGTAAATTGTATTTTTTTTAAATGTGACGTTTTAAAACAACTTAATACTAGAGTAATCTAAAATATAATTCATCCCGCCATACTTTATTTAATAGTTTAGGGCGATTACAATATAATATTTATTTATGATATTTCTTAATTATTAACAAAACGCACACACCCTACAATGTAGCTATTTAACCACAAAAGAGAACATACCCCTTTAACCACAAAGGTCACTCAATGACTTCAGTCTCGCAAACTATATAAATAAGTACCAAATTATGGGAAAGCCTAAGGGACGACAACCTAATTTAAAGCTAAGGAACGACAGGGAATAGACGAACAAAAAATGTGATAAAAAGTATAACTTTTTCGGTTGGGTACAACCTAAAATGTTAATTTTTTCTTAACATTTTCGATTGAACATAGAATATTACATTCTTTGTAACATTTTAAGTCGGTTCATAACTTTTTCAGTTAAACTGAAAATGTTATAAAAAAAATTAACATTTTAGATTGCTCTCAATTGAAAATATTATATTTTTTTCACATTTTTAGTTGCATACATTCCCTATTAACCTTAAATGAAACTGACGTACAACAGAATTACAGATATTACAAATTCCTGCCACATTCCATTCATTTCGTGCTGCAAACTACAAGCTACCAAATTCCTTCATTGACGCAGGCCATGATCCAGAGATAAAATCATCTTTCTATGAATTGCACTGCTCCTCAAACTAAAATATCCCTATTCACAGCTTGCAATTTATCATTGAATGATATAGCAGAAATTTTAGTTAATTGCATTTTTTATCTTGTCCATTAGATAAGCAGAACAGGAACATAAGAAAAGAAGAAGAAGAAACAGTGCTTGAAAAAGAATTTTGGAATCATGATGATGATAAGTCTATGGAGTTGTGGGCTTCAATATCAACATGTCGAATGCCGGGAACAAGTTCTTGGATCTCCTTTTCGAGTCGATCGACTTCACTTCCTAATGCTGTGACTTCTTCCTCACCTGCAAAAAGGAACTCTTTTGTTATACACATTACAGCTCAATTTATTACAATCACTACTTGCATACCATAATTTGACATGATCTTTAGCAATGCAGAATCATCTTTCTCCTTTGCAGCATCTCGAAACTGTGCATGACCAAATTTTGATTGGTTAACATGGACATTAAACATGATAAAATACCAAAATTGGCTTCATGCTTCCTAATTTAGTGAGAAACCCAAAGATCAAACCAGTTGGACGCTCGTCCTTGATATATACAAATATATATTGCCCAAGTTGCAGGTTCTCGATAGCAAACAATGCACATACAAGCAAACAATGTTTTGGTGATGATAAGACATTAAAATTTTAAACCATAGAACAGAATAGTTATCAGCATGTTGAATTAAATGATAATTATGAAACTATGTTATAGCTAGAGTATACATATATTTTTGATTAAGCTAAGGTGATTACAAATAGTATATGTTCTAAATATTCTTAACCATTTGACAATGAACTCTCAATCATCCTGCTACAGTCGCCGGTACTCGAACCAGTGACTTCTAGGAACAACAACGATATCTTTAACCACTGAGGTAAGTTGGTTCGTGCAGCTTTAGAATATATTATATATCATTGATTGTATCAAAGAAAATGTTTATGCACGCAGGATAAAAGGACAAAATCACGGCAATTATTAGTTACACATAGATAACAGCAAAATATACCGAACATGCAAATGTGTTGAAGACAAAAAAGGAAATGGGAGATCAAAATATTAACCTGTCTTGCCCACTCTTCACGTCCTGTTCTCTCGAGATAATTTTGCACAACCACCACTCCATTGAAATCTGTAGTACGTTGTCATAGCAATACATAAAATGTAAGAAGGTTTCAACTAGAGAAATGTCAATTGTTTATTTTAGCAGACCAGATATTAGCATAAATTCCATGCTAGTACCTAAACTCCCAGATTTACCGATGATCATAAATCCAAAAGTATGGACTCTGTACAATTTTCATCATAATTCCATCAAGAAAACATCATATCAGTATTCATAACACAATAGCATTATTGATCTGTTACTGACTGGAAGAGAGCCAGTAAAATGTATCTCTTGCTTTCCAGTTAAAATACTGTATTGGATGAGATGAAAATTTGCAAAGAAAAACTATTGAAATAGAAATAATTATTATTAAGAAAACTAATTTCACCGGTCCAATCACCTCACTCTGGCTATTATATAAAGCATCTACAACCTGCAGAAATTTCAACTTTTCAAGAATGATTACAAATGAAGGATTGCCACATAATTCTAGTAGAGATATACCGGATCGTTCTTCAAGAAATGGAGAACCTTCTGAATATCATGGTCATCAATTGCTCTCCCTATCAAGGCATGCCGGTTGCGCTGGATGAGAAATATTGCGACCTACAAAATTGATAAGCTCCAATAAGATATAACACAATCCAAAAGATGCTTGAAATTATAATATTATAGAAACACAGCCTCAAGATTACTAACTCGCTTATAACTACAATCCCCCCTCCCTCCATCTTTCTCCTTAACTCACATTCGCATGTACACATGTACAATGTCTTCTATTGCAGAACCAATCTATCCAAAATGAACTAGCATAGTCATAGAAGCAAAGACCAACTCAGTTTTTTCCACCATGATAATTCCATATTATATGCCATCCCCAACAACTAGTATATGACAACAATTAATTCTCAGGAAACAAAAAACGGACATCTTGAAAAAGAAAAAGAAAAGGAAAGAGAAACAAGGCAGAAAGATGGTCCTTCATCAAACAGACGTTGTATATTACATTTAGTCCAAAAGAACCAGCTAAAATTATGAATATAAACAGTTGGGATTCAGTTGCCAAATTTACCACGCTATAGCTACATTGTTTGACACAACTACATCTAAAAACGAAGTTGAGAACGTACGAGCCAATGAAAGGCAAAACAAGAATATTTCCTCGTGTATTAATCACCCAGGAACTTTGTTTCAGTAACCTAAATCGTAACCAGGTTTCTGAATATTTCATGTAAGAATTCACATTAGCAATGCTAAGAAATCCAGGCCAGAATCAACGTTGCTGAAGCCATCAAAGTACAGAACAGTACCCAATCATCCGTTTCATAAAGGATATATGCCACGCATTTTTGTCGTAGGCTCATAGCACCTAAATATGACAGATATGACATAAATCATAAATCAGATCCTGCAAGTCACCAAGTCCGCATATCACCTCGCCAGAGAAGACTTGGTGACTTGCCTAAATTATTGGTTTTATCCACCCTTTTCATTTCCTAAAGACAACATAGTATGTTTTCTCAGTAACCCATAAGAGCACAAAAATGCCCAAGTCTAATTGGAATATCACCTTAAAAAGGATAAAATGACAAAGAAGCTGTGATTATGTCTTTAATTCAAAAAACTCCAAGCTTCTGGTTAAGACAAACATTAGTTATTGACTATGAGAAACTAACAAATACCATCCTGCAAGTTCAAAGAGTTTGGTTGCATTATATCAGGCAGTTATTACAGATAGTCAGTTAAAGATGTAAAATTTTCAGGTGTAAGAAGTATAACAGACCATTCCAATAAGGTTGCCGACTATAATGGAACCTAGGGGATCATA